CAAGCGTTTCAGTCCTCCAGAGAATATCCAGGTAGATAACAGTGGTCATCGTCTGCAGCACTTCATTATACATCATATATTACTCAGAAAGTGTAGTTAAGACCTTGAAAAAACCCAGTACATTTATCCCATTAAAAATTGTTAGCTAAAATAAGCTAACATTAGATAATCTCTTATTTATTCCACGATTGAGAACTTTATAGAAAAAAAGCAACAGGCAAGTGCAGCTTAAATGTAAAAAGTATCGGTATCGGTATCGATATCGGCGATACTGACCCAGTATTTACTTGGTATCGGATCGATTAAAAAATCCCGGTATCGCCCACCTCTAGCAATTACGCATACAGACCATTTGCACCATCTTTTGAAACGTGTTAAATATAGAGTCAGATACCGTTAGCAAAATTGCTTCCAGGTCTAATAAATCACTTTGCGAGTGCTAAATTAATATATTTACATGTTCTCCTCCCACAAGACGCACTTCTGCGTGTAAACGCCCCATATTTCATATTCATTGCAGAAAAAGTACTAAATGGATAAGAGGCGCTATTTAGCATGTTTTAAAGACCAAATCCTTTTAGCACGCTGTTGATAGATCAGTTGGTACATTTTTTAGCGTGCGCAGTGAAATAGCTCACCTTTTTATACACGCAAACCTTTGATAGATCCGGCCCTAACTGTAGCTCCCGCGAATTTCAATGATGAAGTCCTCTGGAAATCTAAAAAATTTTTTGTTGATTGCAGATGTATCTAGTAGTTCCTATTGATTTTGCTTGTAAAGCGGTTAGAATGGCGCTAGGCTTACCGCACCGTGACGTCACTGCCGGAAGATGTCAGGAGTGAGGTGTTACCGCTCCCAGACTCAGTGATCGTGACGAAAATTATTGTTTTTATTTTTTTTACACTAAATTCATTACTTTCAATGTATTAGTTTTAGGTATGAATAATGATCCATTGATTATTCCATAGTGACCTGACTTTTCCTTTAAGGTCATATTACAACATCGTACTAAGAGCGCAATCCAAACTATGATTATGACACTTGGGATCACAGTCCAGCCTCTAAGGTAATGAATTGATGGATGATCACTTTCCTGCAGGATCTTCTTGGTAAGAGCAGAATTTCCATTAGATATCATGGATATATTAGAATTCCACAAGTCTTAGAAGCATTAAAATGCTTTGGAAAATGTGACATGAGGTTTAGAATTATTTTTTTCTCCTAGATGCAGATTTTCTCTCACTTTTTCTATTGTTAAATCATTCTGGCTTTAGGCAAGGCAAGGCAAGGCAAATTTATTTGTATAGCACAATTAAGTACAAAGACAATGAAAAGTGCTTTACATGATTAAAATATAGGAAAATAAAACAGAATCAAACAAATAGGGGAAAAAAAAGAAATGAAAAATAAATAAGTTAAATGCAGAAACAAAAAAGAACATTAAAAACAGTTGGACTAAAGAAAATAAAAAAGTTGAACTTTAACTGAGGAAATTAAGGCTAGCAGCATTTTAGATGTTGAGTTTTTTAGTGATCTCCTGGATGAGTCATTGATTTACTCTTGGACTAAATTTGGTAGGCCTGCTTCCCCTGCAAATTCCAATACTGTTTCATATTTAGGTGAACAGTGGCTCTATAACCAAAAATACACGGTAGATGGCCATGCCACTGTTTCCAAAACGAAAAGAGGACTCCATTTATATCTATTTTTGAATTTCCTAGACTGTGGCATGATGAGTTGCTTATACAGAACATTGAACTAAGTTTATCAGGCTCTAGTCAAGCAATGTCTTCAGTGTCTTGAAAAGGTCTGGCAGCATGTAGGAAAAGGTGTGGTTCATGTAATCAAATCCAGAAATCGTTGAACACATTTGGCTATCTGATTTAACAAGGAAAGATTTTATCTTTTATGGAGAACCAGATACATTTTAATAACTTATTAACCTTTACCCTTTATCAGTAAAACTGTTTATAGTGTATTTTAAATAAACTTGGGTGATCTCCCTCTGATTATTACATTTATTTGATGATCCAAAATATTTCCATGTGAAAAACAAAAAGCAGAAGAAGAAATCTGTGAGGGGTTAATTATTTTTTGAGAACACTGTGTCTAATGACTGCTTTGAATTATTCTGCTCATGACTTTTGTTTTATGGAGGAAATGTTACAACAAGATTTAATATCTAAGGGTAATTTACCTCATTTCAAAGTACCAGGAAAAATAAGGAAGTCATTTTTAGAAGTGTGTAGTGAATCAGTTCAAGATGATCGAGGCTTTTCTTATTGGAGCAATAATGCAGAGTTAATGAGAAGAGGAAAAATGTTTTGTTAATGATTTACTTTTTTCTTGGAGCTAGTAAAAAATTCTTTGTCTTCTATCAACAATTCAGGAAATTTAATAATTCACAATCTTTAACTTATGCAAAGCAGAATCTGTCCAACTATTAAGGAGATCTGAGCTCTTAAAAATACAAATTCATTAAAGCTATGCAAATGAAACTTAATATAAACCTAAATGACATAAATTCAATTTCAATCAAAGATGTAAAATCAGCTTGTCGCTGGTTTCCCCCCTATTAGCATTGTTCTCATTTAACATATCAGAATCTGTTTCTTTTAAAGCTACAGTGTGTAATAATTACAGGCATATAAAGTCAGAAATTTAATATATTATACATAACTATGTTATTTATCATCACCTATGAGCTCAGCCTTTTAACCATAATATTTGCGTTGCCTTAGAATTCGTTATTTATAATTACATAGGAGCGGGTCTCGCAGCCATGGAGGCTGACATCTTTGCGCTACGGCAAGCGCAGAGGCAACAAACTAGCGATTGCGAGATCTCCCATGACGCTCAAAAATAACTACGGCAAGTTGAGAGAGATTAACTGAGGCGGTACTGAACAGTAGATGGCAGTATTATGCCTGAGAAGCGTTTAGTCTGCCTGAAACCAAAGAAGAAGAAGAAGCAGGTATACTGCGCCTCAGTAACAAGAAAGGTGAACAAGGCGGCAGGCGTGAGTGACTTTGCAAACTGTTTGGCACTGTGTGGCCAAACATCAGACGAATGGAGGATCATGCCTACTCTGTATCACAACGAAAAGCGGCGGGCACCGAACCCCCGTCATCTAAGAAGCGGAAACACGACGAGAATAAACGCAAGCGTGACAAGAAACGGCAAAAAACACGGATCAACATTGGCACGGCATTTACACGATGGAAGTCACTGATGGAGGAAAAAGGTTTTCAAAGTGACGCTCAAGTTGCCAGTTTTCTCTTGGACAGGTAATTAATCCTACACACACAATTGTCTAATATCACTGCAGTTTTTGGAGTACAGGATGCTCAGACCTGTCTAAAACAATAACATGCTGCGTGATGATGCTGTTACTCTCCAGTATACTTATTCAGCAACGTCCCTGACGTTTCACAGGTAATGATTCAGTAATTTTCTGTAAAATAATTTTCTGGATATATACCTCGGTTACTTCTCTCCGGCTCCTTTGGAGATCTTCAAGCCTTTCCTCCTCTGCTCTCACCCCGCTGGCTCCCCTCTCTCGCCTGGCCCTAGCTGCACGGCCTCCCTGCCTTCGCCCTCGTCCTCTCCCTCTCCCTCGCGTTGTAACCCCCGTGCCACCAAAATGACTTGGACTCTGTAAACGGGGGATATATATTCTTCCAGCGAACACAATCTCGCTGTTAAACTAATGACTACAATTACTTCGTCTGTTTATATCACCATGCAAAGCAGCTCACCAAGACGTCACAACGATGTAGAAAAAATAACGGGTATATTTATTATCTTAAGTCTACATGAAATCTATACCCTACTCAGACTAATGAAATACTATCTGTAAAATTATCTATGTAAACAAACCTCATCACTTGAGAGGGTAGGTGATGTGGACGTCGTAGAAGAAATTTTGTCCCGTAACGCTCGCCGTACTGTTGGGGGGGAGAAGCGGTGGGGGGGAGATGTTCATGTTGCTGCGGTCTGTAGTCTGACCGCTAGATGTCGCTGAAAATTACACACTGTAGCTTTAATATAAACTGCTAGACAGGATGCAAAGCATCTCTAAGCATCAACATTTAAGTCCTGTCACACACATTTAAAGTTTAGGTTTCAGATTATTACATAATTTAGGTTGAGATTTATTAGTGTTTAATTCCAACTCATGGATTAATTTATCTAAAACATTAAATTGCAGGGAGCCAGGGAATTAATGAGGATTATACAAAAGCAACTTAAGGTTAAGATAAGAGTATGCAAGGAGGCATAAAAGAAGAGGCTGGAAAGCAAGCTCCAGCAGGCATCAAGCAGAACGATAATCAGACAGATGGAAGTCTGGACGAAGTCAATTAAATTAATACATTCTTCAACAGGTTCATTTCAGGAACAATCTCAGCTTTTGTTTATTGTTTTGGCTTTGGAGACCCCAAAAATACCTGCTATCCTTTGCTTTGTTAAGTATTATTAAAGCTTTATATTGTTCGGATAAATCCACTTTATGCTGGGCTTGATCCACTTGGCAGGTCTTTATATGAGTTTTCTTAATCATTTTTTTTTTGTATTTATTAAACCCTAATCTCCAAGATTTTATATAAAAGGGTCACAACAGCAGGGTTTATCTTTACAGGAAGACATCATTTTTCATGCACACGTTTAAAGAGTACAGATACATATCTCCATTTTTTGACTGTTATCATTCTTATGTCTGTGTTTATAATAGTAAATTATAAACATTTACAGTTTTGATGTGTAATATACATGAATATTTAATAGTATAGTGAGGCCTTCAAGAAAAACCGAACCATCTTCAGTTAATTATTTAGAAAATATGAATGTTGTGCTTGTTCAGTTTCCTGCCACTGGAGTCTGACAGAAAACCATCAACAGCATCTCTCTTTCACTTTATTATGACCTAATGTAGGGCAGGCTCTTCCTTCCAAGCCTCTTACAGAAATATTTAATTTTGTATGTGTCTTGGGTGTTTTACCTCACTTAGGATGCCAACAGCACCATGGATTTTTGCCACATGACAAAGAAAAGCTGCAGACTGTTGTCCCAGCATCCTCAGTGATGGCAGAAATCTGACCAGTGACGAAGGGCTGGCCTGGGAAACGTCCACAAGAGCACCCAACAAAGCCTCTGTAAGTGTGTGCTCTCCAAGATAGCTGACAAGTGTGGGCACATGTGTGCTCAGCATCTGCAAGGATTAGGACAAATGAAGCCAAAAATTACAAGAAATACTCAGCATTGTTTCATTAGTGTGTGACTACGCTTCTGCACTAACAAACCAAATTGAGTCTGAGCTCCATCTCTTTCATTAAATATATAGAACAAAAGACGGACCTTCTGAACAAACTGAATGAATGAACAGTTCCTGCTCATTATCGCCACTGATCTCACTCAGATGCACTAGACTGAAAACCCACGATTGTCTGCTCTGTTGCTGCTCCATAATGAGTCACGTTTTCTGGAGAAATATGCAACAATTGTTTTTTTCTACCAAACATGGTGCATGACAGCTTAAAATGTTTTTTATATATATATATATCTTTTCACATTACCAACATCACGTCAAGTAAGTGACATTAAAATGCAGAACATTTCACAAGTGCTGTGATGAATACTGAAACAATGAAGCTGCCAATCCTTTAAGTGCATGGATGGGTGTGGGGGGGATAAGGGAGAGAAAAAGAATAACTCCAGATGGCTGGGTTTGTTTCTCCTCTGAATAAAACTGTGCATGTTTAACCACTGGGTGATTTGTTTGCTGGTATTTGTTGTGATCCAACACTGGGGTGTTGGATCACAACAACTCAATTCCAAGATATGCTGGATTAAAGGTATTTTTGCAGAGCTCAATTTTATCAGCTCTATTTAGTTTTCAAGAATAATGTTCTCAAAGCAGCATACAGAGAATGGCTGCTACTGTATGTCTGCTTCTGTGTCCTTGAACCCCAGTCAGCCTCAGCAGATGGCCACTCATGTTGAGCCTGGTTCTTCCGGAGGTTTCTTGCTGTTAAAAGGGAGTTTTTCCTGTCTACTGTCGCTACTAGCATGCTTGGTGTAAGGGATTTAATTTGAGACAATGAGTCGATGCAATCAACTGGTTTTCCTTAGAAAACTTTGAATCAATCTGACTGTATGATCTGGCTTGAATTGTCTCTTTGTTTTGAATTGCCACTATATACATAAACGAAATTAAACTTACCTCCTTTATTCAAGAAAAAAATGAATTTATTTCAAGAAAACTTTACATTAAATTATTTTTTTTCTGCTATTTTGGCTATATGCTTGTAACATAACAATACTGTATTACCTCAGTTTTTGCCAAGTGCATATGAATTTTATGCTGCTTACAGTAGATGTGCTTGTTGACACTGAGGTGTGTTTGATGCAAAGTTGCAAAACTTTTCAGTGGCGTTCCAACAGCTTTACATACAGTAGCTTTTCCTATTGATTTTTATGTCCATAAAGTAAAATACCAAAAAGGTGTCTTGTAATTAGAAAATAAATAATATTTCATGAAATATGAATACTTTGTAGTTTGCAAAAGTCAGGATTTCATTATATCTATGCCTAGAGTTGACTTTGGATACATAAAAAAGCATATTAAATGACCTTTAAGGGAGAAAAAAACTACCTTCCAGACCTACATGGCCCTTTGGCCCTTTCTTGTTTGTAGCGCAGTTCTTTATTCCGCTGAAAAATATACAGATTATCATTAAAATGTGACTGAATTGTAATTTTTGAGAAGAACAGTAAGTAATTCTTATCACATAGTTGAGAAACAACCACAACCATGGATTAATTTAGGGCATCAGCCGTTCTATGGTTAAGAACTAAACTTTTCTTTTCCACGCAAATGTTTTTCAAGATGTCCCACACAAGAGGGATTTATCAAAGTAACCGTACAATAATCCATTGTGGTCCAGCTAATGTATTTCCTGTAATCCAGATGTGCCTATCGTAGATGTATCTTTTGTTCACAGGTTTCTTTAAAACAAATTTTTGTTATTATATGGCCTCCTTCTCAAAAGGTCTCCAACCTGATGTGTCACAGATAGACTCACTTCCACTGTGTGGGGGGGTTCAGGGGGGAATATCTTAGCAGTTGAAAAACACTGTTGTCAAGCCATTTTCCACTACCATTAAATTTTTGGCATTAAAGGTCTTGATGAACTGGAAAATTCTTCCTTCAGGTCCCATATTTTTTGCAGACATTCCCAGAATTTAAGAACCATTTTATTCAAAGAAATTGTGGTTGCAAAACAGGTAACCATTAGCAACACCAGACAATGACTTGTAGCAGATCTGCTCCTGGATTTTCTCACACTTTAATATGAATCATTGATTGCAGTTTTACACATTAAAACGTGCACAGGAATCCACCCTGAATAATATGTGATCACATGAGGTAAACTTTGCAAAGAGAAATTCTATTCTTCCCAATATTTTGGTCACATTTTTATCCAATTTACCAAATCATTGCTGCCATTATTTCTGGCTGCCAAGTTTAATATTGGTACTGCTACTATTCTTTTAAAGACTGCTAATTCAAGCCTTATAAATAAGAGGAATTACTTACAAGTGGATGCTGCTCTGCAACCATCTGAATAAGTCTGATCAGGTGTTGCTGCTCGGGTCTCTCCAGCTGGGGCAACATTGCTGTAAGGCTACCCAGATGATGGTGAATGGTGTCTGGCTGTTTGTGGTAGACTGATGGAAGCACGCGTAACATCATGTGGTTTCCTGCAACAAAAGAAAAGACCAGGACAAGTATATAAGTGTATTATAGAAATAGGGTTGCAATGCTGTTAAATAACTGTGGGTATGTATTAAATATGCACGGTATTCACTCAAAATAGTCTCATGTAAATTCACTATATTTGCATCAAAGTAGCTTCACTGTTTGTGCTTACAATTACTACTGACAAGATTACCTGTATTAGGAAACATTATTCTTATAAACCCTAAAGACATAGATTATAGCTTCGAAGGAATAGTGTAAAAAAAAGTGTTATTATGTTATTATTAGCCATATGTTATTGGTTATTACACAAAAAAAAACATTACCAGTGAGTTTTTGCACAGCAAAATAAAACTAAGCTCACTTCATTTAAGTATAACTTTGTCAAAAGAACTAATTAAACCCTGAAATACCTGTATTGTTTCTATTCATGAAGTTATTGCTGTGAAAATCAAGAGGTACTCTTGAAAAAATCCCACTTATTAATGCACTAGCAGTGGTTGTTGTGTTTTACTGTAAACTGAAGGTAATTGTCAATAAAAAAAACTTTTGCATGCTGGGATCTGGAGATCTGCCACCTGTCTCCAGCAGAGAGCGCTGTGGGTCTCCTGGGCTGGAGCCCTCAGCACACCTGAGGATCGTCAGCCCATCAGGAGACCTCCTACATAAGCAGCAGTCAGACCTTCCTTCAACGCCGCAGTGTTGACCAAATTTGGTTAGCGAACCTGAGCCTCTCTTAATCTTAGAGAATCTTAGTTGGCTCTAGAGAGAAACTGGATTCTAACCTGCCTTTGTCTTCTTTGCTCACAGAAAACCCCGACTGAAGTCTGAAGCTCTGGATGAGCTTTGCCTGGAAACCTGCCTGCCTGCCCAAGGAAGCCAAACCTGAAGATATCAGTCTGGATTCCTCCAACAGCTCTCAAGGAAGAGCTAGGAAACCAAGTCAAGGTCTGAAACTCACAAGTCAGAAGCTAGACGCTGCTGCTGCTGCACTCCCTGCTGAATCTACAGTCTCTGGACCCAACCGGTTCCCCCCCTCTCAAAGGATCTGCCAGAACCTCATCTAGGTACATTCTGAATTAACACACTTGACAAGCCATCTAAGCTGCCTGGCTAATCAAACTATCCATCTCTGCAGATATCAGTGATTCCAGTCCCGGACCTGTACCAGAACCAGTTCATAATTACTCTGTGTGTTTTTTCAATAAACTCTGTTAAACTTTTGATCAGCTTCCTATGGTGTTCTGCATGTGGGTTAAGTGTCTTAAGCCTATCATGACATCATCAGGTTTGATTTTGCTCTAATTATCAGATTGACCCCCCCACCCCGACCCCACGTATGGAGGATGTCAGTGTATTCTCATTATCAGTTCGTATGAAATTGTACGAAAAGTTATGCCTAGTATTTTGTACGTTTTTGACGTTTTTTTCGTCATATTTCGTCGTATTTTTACGTCTTGCCTTGAGAGAAGATATCCATGCGCTTGCGCATCTTACGGACCATTCAATAACATACAATTTAACATACAATTAACCCTAACCCTAACATACAAAACAGCAAGCAACCTAGTGAGAGACATCATGAAGTAATTATTGCACTGTCTGTCCCAGTTTTACGTCCGTCCGCTGATCTGCTTTTTTCGTCTGTCTGGCTGCGCATGCGCACTGATATGTTTTTTCGAGGAAAAACGTCAAAAACATACGAATTACTGTGCATAACTTTTCTTACGATTTCATACGAACTGATAATGAGAATATGTTGAGGATGGATAGTTCAGAATCAGAAATACTTTAATAATCCCAGAGGGAAATTACTTATTTAAATTTCATATGTGGCACTTAATCATGTGTTAATGACCCATACTGTTAAAATAGGAAGCACGCTGCAAAAGACATTTGACCTTTACTTATTAGCTGTTTATAATCTCTCTATTACTATCAGCTGTTATTTACATCTAAAAGCATAATATTCCCCCTCACTAAAGAATATCCAAGGTTTAGAAATAATTGTTTTTCCATTTCTATGTGCTGAAAAAAAGTCAAGATGATGCATGATCGGCCACATAAGGGCTTTTGCAAAGCAGTTTACAGGCCCGGAAAACCCACAGGATTGCGCAACAGCCTCCGTCTGACAATAAAACATCTTTAAGCTATTCACTTCACTGAACAAAGACCCTTGTTTTCAAATAGAGTAGTTATTATTGGTGATTTTCAGGAATTTTACACAATAACTCTTATATCCTTCAAAGGGGAAACCACATGAGATATTTCATATTTGATGTTTAAATTAGCCTGATAGTATTTCAAATAGAAAATATGTGAGAAAAGTCTGTAAGTCCAAAAAAGGCTCAAAACAAGAGAAGCAAAACTTTTTTCTTTTTTTTAATAAACTGATTCCATCTATGTAGAAAATAGAAAATATAGGGACAAATTAAGCTGAGCTACATTAGAAAAATAGAAATTGTATGCATTCTTATTGCACAGTAGAAATAAGAGAGAAGAATTTGACTGATTTTATATCTAAAAGGATTACAGGTTTAGATGGAGCCTATGGAGAGAGAAACAAGACCTATCGCTAAGAATCCATTAAAGGAATAATGTCCAAACAGGATCCACAAAAATGTATTCATACATTAATCAGAATTGGTTTCTATAACAGTCTCATCATAGATTTGTCTAAAAAGTGCATCAGACAGCTGCAGCTGATCCAAAACGCTGCTGCCTGTGTTCTCACTAGAACTAAGAAAGTAGAGCACATCAGCCTGGTTCTGAAGTCCTTCCACTGGCTGCCTGTAGCTTAGAGAATAGACTTTAAAACCCTTATGTTAGTTTATAAATCACTGAATGGATCGCCACTAAAATACATACTGTAACAGATTTGTTGTCAGTCTATCAACCTCCAAGACCACTCAGGTTTTCTAGGTCAAGTCTACTCTGTTCACCGAGAACTAGAACCAAACATGAAGAATCAGCATTTAGTTTCTATGCTATATGTATCTGGAGAAACTCACAGAAGACTGGAAAAGTGCTGAAAACCTATTTTAACTCAAAGTTAAAACCCCTTTTTAAAGCTGCCATTGACAGTTTAAGTTAAACTGTTACCTAAGGAATTATTAGTTTAAGGTTATCAGTTGGACAAGGTTGTTGCCTAATCATTTTATGTGTTTTAGCACCTGCTTATAGGCTATCATGTTTTTATCTTTTTTTCTTTTATCCTGCTTTATTTTTCCTTCTATTTTATCGTTTAATTCATATAAAACATTTTGAAAGGTCCTTGTACTGAATTGTCCTATACAAATAAACTTACCTGAGATAATTCTGGGTTAGAGGCACTTACCAATAAGCTGGAATGTAATCCAGTGATAAATAATATAATTGTTAATGGTACATTTTCATACTTAGTACAAAGTAGTCACAGGCTCTGATCAATTTGCAATTAGAATGTCACCAAACAAAAAGTCTGAACAGCAATCACAATTTTGGCACACTGTGATGCTCAGGATAGGACATAAAGAGGCTGTTTTTCATCCTAAACACAACCAGCAAAGGTTTGAGTCACAACCAGAACCATTATATGCATGTTTCCTTTATCTATCTTTCTCAGTCCCAGGCTGTATAAACCTGTCTTAACCCTAACATACACTGTTTATTATCAAACCCGACCACCTACATACAGTTGAACTTTAATCATCATTAAAGAAAGACAAAGAGAGCTTCAGTACAGAAAAACACAAAAAGCTTGAAATAACCATTAAGCTTCAGTTGAAAGTTAAATGTCTTTTCAAAGGTATTTTAAAAGGATGGAGGAGATAAGAGTCTGCACAAAATACACTGGGGGAGAATACAGCCCTAAAACTGCACCTAATACTCACATACAGTAAGAACAACCTGAGCAGATAAAAGAAAATCCTGACTGAATGATTAGCCTTATATATACTGCAGACCCTGTCTGGATCCCTCATCATCTAAAATAAATGTATAACTTATGATGGACGGACCGTCCGTCCATCCATCCATCCATCCATCCATCCATCCATCCATCCATCCATCCATCCATCCATCCATCCATCCATCCATCCATCCATCCATCCATCCATCCATCCATCCATCCATTTTTTTTATGAAAAAGTTCTCTAAACCAGCTTTGAATATAAACTACTTTGCAAATCCTTTCAAAACCCAACAATTCCCTTAGAGGAGGATAAAGGGATTTGAATCAAAGAGAAAAAAAAAATCTTGTTTTTAGAATAGAATAGAAAATCCCTCCATTGTCCCAAAATGGGGAAATTCTGGTGTTTATCTGGTTACCCTTCTGGTTACCCAACATGTTTTTTTGAGTGTTGTAACAAATTGAGACAATTTTCAGTACATGTGCAAAGAGAAATTTTTTGATTAATCAGATAAGTGTGTTTTTTGGCTTTTTTCTCCAACAAAAACTTGGGTTGATAACAAAAAGGCAATGACTCAGTTCCACATACGTGGATCTTGGAATGGCTGAAGCTGTAAAAGGTCAAAAACACTCTAGGAGCCTTCAATGGAAACTCTATGAGGCGCCACGTCAATTAAGCAAATGGAATATACCAAAGAGAAGTCTGTCCTCTCTGCTGTTCTGCATAGGCCTGAAACCCCTTAGGCAAAAGATCTACCAGACCAGCTATGGATACTGACTTAGAAATGCTACCACTATAAGCCATCCCTTCTACATGGATGTACTGTTCTGATTTAAGAGCATCATGAACACCTTGGTCATTATATGGTGCGTTGGCACAGCTCTGTGACAATGACTGGAATTATGGTTTCTTCTCATTTAGGAAGAACTCCTGTGACTTCACTTTGTAGGACTGTGGGGATGGAGGTGTCAAATGCTCTGTCCTGCACAAACTGGGACATCTGGTTACCCAACATTACACTGAAACACATCTTAAACAGGGGAAGAAAGTGAAACAAGTTCACCTCAAAATAGTTCACAAGAATGCCACAAAACTCTGAAGCAACCCAAAAT